ATAATTCTGGTAAATTGCCCGGGCAGGAAACACTAGATGGTGTGATTTCAAGACTAAGGAAGTAAGAATTTGGCCAAATGTTTTCAGAAGATTAATTTAGCTCATGAAAATTAATAATCAATCTCACAAAATCGGTCAAAGAGGTTTCATATTCTGTTGCACTACATGCCTGGAATAAGGAAACTCATCATTAATAATTACGGTCTATCGTGATAAGCAACATTTATTTACCAGCATTCATTAAGGAAGAGGGATTTAAATCTTCGAGAATATTTAGCTGGAAAATGTCAGAGTTAGGGTCAACTCTCTCCAGAAGCGTTCGTTGTTTTCCCTGATACTCCTGCAAAAAGACATCAATAGACAAGAGTTGAAAAAGGTTGAACAGGAACAGGTTGAATTTTCCTCGTCTGGTGTTGTTGTGTTGATCGATATTTAGAACAAAAGGAGCATTGTTGAATAGGGTCTTTTGTTTAACTGTTCATCCCAGGTCAAAATAGGTTAATTCTGGCCAACTTCATAGTTGATTCTATTCTGAAACTCATATGTAGTTTGTCAATGAGCGATCGTCGAAAAGATGTAGGAACCACCACATACCATGTTTTCATACTGGGATTGTCTAGAATCTACCTTAGGATTGACTGGATTATTTGGAATCCCCCCTGGACAGTCATTAATCCCCCTCAATATTAAGTGAAATTCTTCCTGTGATTGTCCGGAATCCTCCCTGGGATAGTTCATATTCCTTCTTTGGTTTTTCCGAAGTTACCTTTGATATTGTTGGGAAACCGAACTGGGATTGTCTGAAATTCCCCCTAGGCTTGTTCGGAATCTCTACTGAGACTGTCATAAATCCCCTTTGCGATTGACTGGAACCCTCCTAGAGATTGTACAAAATCCCCCTGTAATAGAACGTCATCGGCATGGCAGTAAATCAAGACAGCTCTGACTGTTCCGTAAGGTCACCATAAAAATCTTCCATCGATTTTGAGGGGGCAGCTTGTAGTTCCTTTCATACACGTGCAATTTCCCTTTCATTGCTGAAAGATCTTCCCAGTAAAGCATCCCTAATAAAATGTGTATGGTTATTTTTCTTAACGACGTGTTCAGGGTATCATCCAAACCATTTGTAGAATGGTTCTACCATTTGGGTTAAAGTTCGGGTATGGTACTTTTTTATTAGGGATTGCAAGCGCACCGTTCAAAATGTTGTTGCTTGCTTTGCTTGACAGTATCGGTTGCTATGTGTATTTTATGTTGCGCAACGCGAGTTACTCAGAGTTACTCAAAATTAACTCCGATTTTACTCATGATCAAAAGCTGTCTTGCCTTGTTTACAAAAGCAATTACGCCCCTTTGAAATCAAGAGCAAATTTTCATTACGTCGAATGTAACAAAGGTAAACAAAGTCGAGCTATCAGTGTCAATCGATGCTCCTACTATTACACTATATACTGTCCGAATATAGGATCACATCCCATTTTTAAATTTATTTACCAGTCGAATTGCTTTTTGACGTAATCACCTTCCGATCAAAATAGTTTTCGATGTTACTTAAGTCACCCGATTTCTATGGAGATGCCGTTTGCCTTAAGTAACAGCACTGAGAAACCCGTGAAAAGTGTACTTTCGTCGTTTCGCTTTCTCATTATTAAAGTGAATAAATCGAACTGTTTGTTGCTAAGATGATTTCGGTGGTCCTAAGCACGTAAGGAGACGTAATTGATAATTCTCCCGAATATCCTGGTAAATACACTTTGACTTAAGTAACAATAGGGGCCACCAAACGACGTATAATAACTTTTGACTCAAAAACCAGTATTTCTTAGCATGAAAGCTAGCGATTTGCCTTTGTATGATTAAAACCCGGCTAAATATGTTAAACATTGCTATCACTATGAGATTATATGTGTTTAATTGGAAATAGGAATAACTTTTCGGTCATCAAAACAAAACTTTATTTTTCTCGGATCGGTGCGAATGTTACTTACGACATAATGAAAATTTGCTCTTGAAATGTTGGAACTGATTTATTCTCAATTTAACCACGCTTATTACTGTTAAATCTACTATGAATTCAGTAAAGTTGACTATGAATGTTATCAAATTTACTATTGATGAATCTACGTTACGGTCGGCCAGCAGATGGAAATGATGTGAAAATGATAATGACGTTTTGCTAGCTGGAATATCGTATGGAATATTTTTTAGTACATCATCACTTTTTTGGTTTTGGATTTCAAACCTAGGTGTCGCATGCACTGGTGCAGTTTCGCGTAGATTCATCAATAGCGTGCTGGTTTATTATGATGCTGATTAAACGAATCCTGGGAAAGCATCATTGTCATCGTCAGAGAAACTTCTGAAATCCAGGATGTTCAGATAAGCATAGCTACTTGAATCGCTGAGAGTATCTTCCGAGTCTCCGTCTTCTGATTCCACGATTTCAGTGAACAATCTTGTCGTGGCTGTTTTAAAATAACATGATGTTCTATGTTTGTTTATCATGGCCATATGTTGACCAACGGGGGGGGGGGGGAGGTGTCAGTCAAATACGAACAATCGTCACCTACCTCGCATAACTGGTTCCAAACGTAAACAAGCCATAAGAAACCTACAGTGTTTGTTTACGTTTGGAACCAGTTTCATACAAGAATGATCAGTAGGCTGATTTGACAGCACGTCCCTCCCCAGATGTTGACCCAGCGTGCAGGTTTTCAGTTTGACAGTTCTACAATTCGATTTGAAAGTTTCAACTCAAGACCAACAATTGAAATGGCCTTAACTTCATTTTGTAAACAAACCTTGTACACAATCGGGTAGAGGCAGGGGGAACGACACTCATTTGGATGTATTTTTTCAGTCTAGTAATTACTTGGGATTTTCAAAAACATTTTCATTTTTAGTAAACAGGGCCCCGCTGTTGTGTCACTTTTTGTCGAGTGAGTGAACTCAAATCCATCCGTGCACTCGTCAATATAGTCAGCTGACATACATGGTGTTTGTTGTGGAGATTGTTGAAAAATGACAGTGAGTATTAGGTTCTGCAGCGTGACGTCACAAATGAACTCAGTGTTAATCGGCTGAACCTTTTTGACAGTTCAGTGGTACTGTTTACAAGCACTTAGTCGTTTTTTCGAAAAAACAAATTCTAAAATTTCCGAATTTTAACTTGAAAATTGTCGAGGAACAGCGTGGTGAAAGGATGTTGATCGTGGACAATGCAGAAGTGTGGTTTACATCTCACTGCAGTCTGAAAAATTATCGAGAAAATCTACCCAAGAAAAAAACGACTAAGTCCACGTAAACAGTACCACTGAACTGTCATCAGATTGAGGTTAACCCCGACGGTGCAAAACCTAATGGCAGAGTGCTTCGCGGTCGACCTGAAAACTTCGAGAAACTGCATGGCTTGCTTGACAATTTGTGTGCATGCAGAAAGGATAAGTTGGGAATAGAAAGAATAGATAGGATGGATTGAAATTTTGTGCACGTTGAAAATTTTATGAGAGGTTTTGGTAAAAATGGGATAATCCTGAAGAGTCGTTTGAGTGAATTTCCCCTACCTGTTCGTTTTGTTGGTTTGCGTTAGCGGACTTCGGTTCGCAAGAAAATTACCTCACAAGGTTTGTTTACAAAATGGAGTTAACGCCATTCCAATTGTTGGTCTTGAACTTTTAAAAGTAGAAAGAGAGCTACTTTTGAATTGACAGTTAGGGGACTTTAGTTTTGAATGCTAATTACTTTTACCAAAAAGAACCAACGCTAACTTTTAATTTTACCAATGGTTTTTTTGAATTTATTAACGATTATTTTTTGTGTGTAGTTGATCGTTATCGTCCTCAAAACTTCAACGTCATCATCTAAAGAAAAGAAAATCGCCACTCGATCGGATCAAGTCAAATTCAAAAGTTTGATGCAAGGACGTCGAGTCTGAAATCAATTTTGTTTTGTTATTTGTCCCGAGATTTGTCCTGGAAATTCTCAATTCTAGCTAGAGCTGGAATTAGGGCGTGACAGCCTTTATAAACAATGACTTTTCTCGGTGATTTTTTACCCTACCCGATGGTGATGTTGATTTGCGTGTGCGATCCTTGACTTTCTAGAAATCATCGAGAGAAGTCATTGTTTACAAAAGCTGATAAGCCCTAATTCCAACTCTATCTAGGATTATTTTTCGATTTTATTCAGAACTCAATACGTTCGAAATTGACTTGGAGTTCTCATCATAACAATCTCAGAACTTATTTAGAATATTCATATGAAATTGATCTGGAAAGAATTCTCATCACAATCGTCATGGATCTTTCCACAGAACTAACAGAAAGTTCTACCCTGAACTCACACAATTGACTTGTCATTCTAGCCAAACTTTCTTAGAATTTTTCCCAAAACTCTGTTGAAATTTTTGCCTGGAATACCTGGTGCTATCCCTTGAATTAATTAATCGATTTAAATGGATGAAGTATATTATTCTCCCAATTTAACATCGAAATACACGGGCGATTTCGAATTCCGAACTTTTTTCCCTGAAGAATGCTCTATTTTGATTTTCCGCTTGATAGAGTTGCTCTGTTGACGGTCCGTTCAAGAGATAAACGCACAGATTTCTTGCAATGGCACGCTTTTATTGGCTTTGGGATCCCCCCAGCAGCAGCTTTAATGTATTTATCTCCGGTGGGAGATCATACGGAGTTATTCAGATATGCGTCCTTCATGCCTTGTTGCGACTTGAACTTGATGAAAACCGCGGTCTCCTTTGTAATCCTGTAAGTTGTTTCCATCTCAAGCACATGCTTCCATAGGGAAGACTGTCATCAAAATCGAACCGTGGACTGTCTATCACCTCAGCTTAAATCTTAAACCAGGTTTACTCAAATATGTAGGTAAACCTGGCATAAGGTTTAAGCGCACGTGAAGAAATCAACCCTAACAGAAAGAACCGCATTTTAAAAATGTAAAGAAATCATTTTATTATACGGAAATATTAGGTATATTTATTTTATATTCAACGATACTTTTGTTTCTTTACTGCATGCTCTAATTGGAAAGATACATATCCTTCTTTTGCGTCTTACAATGCCTATATTCATGTTTTTCTCACCATAATATCAAAGATTTGCGTTCATTTAGATTTCCATGCTTCAAATAATAATTGTTGTCGTGCTGTAAGCCAATCAACACTCATATTAGAATTAGTAAGGAAGAACCAAAAACGTCCAGTCTCTCAAAGTTTCACCAAATCGCATGATCTTTTCCTCTAGAATTTGTGCTAGCTACGAGCATTTTACGTTATACAAAAATAAAGAACAAGCAATAATAAGAACGTCATAATCAACTATCACAATCGAGTTCCTTCTCTCATTCCGAATCGCAATCCTCCAGAAACGACACAAACGAAAAACCGCAAACGCCACCCATTCAATCTGCACTGGAAAAGCATCCGTTGCACACGCGAACGTCGCTGAGCCAGCCCCGTATCGGCACGGGCCGCCGATGTTCGGAGCAGGCCGCACAGACGGCATTGCCACACGCTCGGCAGTGGTGCCGCCGCCGATCGATAACCAGATAGGAATTGTTATGTGAATGCGAGGGCGATACCGTTGCAACGGTCAAATTGGCAGCACCGCTGTCCCCGCCATCCGATCCCGACGACGAGCGGTGACGGAGGACGAGCTTCCCATTGACTGTGGAGCCGGCCCGAACCAAGGGTGTCGTAGAGTTGATTTCCTCCGGAGTACCGAAAACCAACTCACAAATGTGGCACCGTGGAGCTTCGGCGTCCGGGACCCAGTACGAGGGCCTGGCAGAGTCTTTGATGAGGTCTGTTGGAAGATTTTAACAGGTTATTAGATTTGAAGGTTTCGCATGTATCGGGTTACCTTTTGGATACTCTAGCACCGCACCCAGGTTGCTCAACGTGTTGATGACAACTTCGCCGTACTTTCGGGCCAGAACGTCCCCATCGCCGGGGTTATTGTTGCCTGTAGAAGACGTCAGATCTTGTTCAGTTTCACTTTCAACGGCTGTTGAATCATCAGTTTTAATTTTGTACCGAGCCAATAGGTTGATTACGATTGTTTGGAACGAAAGGAATTTTTTTGTCAAAGTTAGTCTAAGTCGAGTATATGAAGGACCTACCTTGAATGCCGTTCGTATCACCATTGATCCTCTGTGCCCTCAGTAGTTCTTCGCGGCAGCCATTGCACACCCGAACCGGATTGTCCCAGCCTCGGCTCATCACGGGCATCCGGTGCTTCGAACAGCTACTGCAGAATCCCTCTCCGCAGCTACGGCAGTGATGCTTTTTGAGGTCCAGTCGTTCGAAATTGACGGTGCAACCCTTACAGTGCTACAAACAACAAATGGTTAATCTCCCCGTGCACGGAAATGGGCAGGAATTAATGGCTTACGATAATCTCACTATCCGGTCGCCAATAGGCCGGTCGTATCTTGTCCGTTACCCAGGATTTGAGCGTCTTTGTCGGTTGGGCTCCAACGCTGGCGAAAGCATCGGTAAGGTACGCAACCCCGTCCAGCACCAGCTGAGCCGAATGGGTGGGACCGCAGACCGCCAGACCACCGTCGTTCCATACATGCACGATTTCGGTCCTGGATGGCGGAAGATGGAAAACTTTGCTACAACAGAGTTTAGCACCCAGTTTAGCATTAGCATGCAAGTTATAGGTATACACAATCTTTGGTTACGGCCTGGATTATTTATCATAGATTCATAGGTCTTTCAGCAGTTCTTCTCGTTTCTTCTGGGGTGTTCTGACTGAATTCTTAACTATAGCCATGACCACTCGGGATTTTTTATTAGGTGGGGTACTCTCAATTTTGCGGCGCCCCTGTCTTTTTCACTTTTACGATGCCCTCATCACATTCCATGACGGTATTTGCAACAAATTCTCTTTTATTTTAGTTTAGAGAACTTCATTGAAGTTCAGCCAAAATTTTCACGAAATTTCGTAGAAGTTAACGGAGTATCGTAAAAGTTCAGTGAACTTCTTAGAACTTCAGAGTTTGATTTGGGAACATACTGGAAGTATTGGGAATTTTGTTTCACTCAAATGTTTAGGAAAATTCGTAGACAAGGATCAGGGTCTTTGCTGGAGTTTGGAAAAGGTCATGAATGTTCTGAGATTTTGGTTGAATTCAGAGAACTTGGAGCTTCGAAGAAGTTGAGAGAATTTTCTAGAAGTAAAAATTAGGGAACATTGTAGATGCTCATGGTACATTCTATGAGTTATAGGAAATTCGTACAGGTTTAGCAAACTTGGTTGAAATTCAGTTGTAGTTTATATAAGGTACAGAAAAATCATATAGGCCTACACTGCGCGGCACGTGACAGTGAAGTAATGGTGCGCTCAAACTGTAAACATTTATTTCTATTAACTTACAAATTTGATTAATAATTAATTTACCTACAAATAAAGTGGTTTCCTTTGAAAACTTCCTTTTAGCATATCCAACACCGCTAGATTCATCACACTTTCCATTAGCAGTTCTCACATCTGCCGGTCGTATTCGTCCACCCAATTCCTTGTTCACCACTTCAATAATACCTCGTCTCCAACATTTCCAATTTTTCCCGTCAACGAACACCAAGTCGCCCTGTTTCAGCCCTTGTCAAACCATTCCGTTCATTGGTTGATCACCGCTCTCATTTCGTCCGAAAAACTGTTCCTCTGTGCCGATGACGATGAAGTTCATAACGCCAGCCGTCATCCGCAACAATATTGTCCACCAAGAACTTGCCTCGACGTCGATCACATCGTGGAACAGCACACAGTGGCGTCCCGTAATCTCACTTTTTACCTGTGCATCAATTTTTAAAAACCAGATTTAATGCCATATTCATACACGAATCGGTTGAAAAATAAACTTAATCTTCTAGTTTACTCGATATCTATCAATTGCAAGCAATATTTTGATAATTGTTTATGTTTTGAGAGCTGGTGCACAGGTAGATTGAGGTTAAGGAAAAGCCACTGAGCACAACACCTCCGGTCTCCTCGTCGGCTTCTTCGAACGTCGACTTCTCCGATGGCGACTGATCCTCCAGCTGATATAGGACCGTTGGTCCCTGGAATCTTGCCCCATCGCTATATAGGAACATTTCCGTTGACGACCGGTTGCACAAACACCACGCATCCGAAAGCGTGTTCGCTGGCATCGATAAAGATTACTTCCAGCGAATCGATTTCAGCGCGCTTAGCATCACCAAGATAGCAGTGCGGAATTCCGATGACTTCTATCTCCGGTAACAGACTGGTCCACCGCATCCACAGCTTCTAGCACTTGACATCGATGTCCTGATCCCAATTGCAGTTGCAACGCCTCCGATCTTGAATGTTTATTTTGCCGTGAGTGATGCCGCTTGGAATAGATCTTTTCGCAGGTCGTTTCTCCTCGAAAAGGTACGCCAACAACTCCCAGATTACTCCTAGAGCTCACTCCTTGTTGTAGCTTTCAGACTCTTGGGAATCTGGCAAGTTGGACGCTCAGTTCCGCCGAAGCTTGTTTTCCGGTGTACCACGTGTAAATCCTGCCCTGACTTGACTTCCTCTGCTACTGTACCGACACTGTCAAAGTTATCGTCGATTTGTTTGCAGACTTTCTTATGCAGCTCCGGCTTCTTCTCTAGTCGCTTTATGTTTCGCATGATGCTATGTCTTCCACGGTAACCCAGTTTCGAAGCGGTCGTCGATTCGTTCGGTAGTCCGTTCAAGTATTTCTCGTGCGCGTTTCTCCTGTTCTGATTTCTGTCGGGATGGTCTTGGTCCGTATACCATCCATCCGAGTTTGCATCGAACCGCAATCGGTTCCACAGGTGCAGCAACCTTCGTATCTATCTGAGCAAATGAATGAATGTATTTCAGTCCGATAAGCAGTTCCGGATGCCCGTCGTACGACTCGATTGGCAGCCCCCGCACGTGTTTGTATTGTGCGGCAAGTTCCTGGCAGTCTAGTATTTGACGTGGCAGCATCAAGTTTCCAACCGTGCGGACACTATGCAGCAGCAAGCTTGTTGGTTGCATTTTCACTAACGGAAGCACCTTCGTCGAGGAACGCCAATACCGTGAGGCTGAATCACATGTTCCAGCGAGTCAGTCGTGAATAATTTTCAAGTTTCCAACGAGGCGCAAACTTAAGCTACACCCGAAATCCTTTTGGAACTACGTGAACGAGCAACGCAGGGAATCCGGCCTCCAATCGTCTATGGAATTCAACGGAGAAGTTGCTGCCACTGTTCAGGATATATGCCACCTTTTTTCCGAAAAGTTTGCCAGTGTATTCACTAATGAGATACTAACTGACGACCATATTAACCTGGCTGCCAGGAACGTTCCAGTAAACGATCAAACGCTGGGTGCAATTGATGTTAATGCAGAAATGATTTCTAAGGCCGCGACTCTGCTCAAGTCATCCTTCAATCCTGGACCTGATGGAGTTCCATCTGTATTTTTGAAGAGACATATTGCTAGCTTGTTAATTCAGCTTCTTCGCCTGTTCCGAATGTTTGCGCACATGTTTCCCGTCCACAAAAAAAGGAAGGAAACGAGCTGTGGATAACTATCGAGGAATTACATCGTTAAGTGCCGTTTCGAAGCTATTCGAGCTAGTGATTATGGAACCGTTGCTGTCCCATTGCAAGCAGTATTTGAGTGCTGATCAACATGGGTTTATTGTCGACCGCTCTACAACCACCAATCTGCTGTGTCTCACATCGTATATAACCGAAAGCATGTCGGATCGGGTTCAAACGGACGTTATTTATTCAGACCTATCCGCAGCATTCGACAAGTTGAACCATGCTATTGCGATTGCTAAACTCGGCAGACTCGGTGTATGCGGTAATCTTCTGAGTTGGTTTCGATCATATCTTACCGGTCGGCAACTAAAGGTTGCCATAGGATATTGCAGATCAGCTAGCTTCTTAGCCACATCAGGTATACCTCAGGGAAGCCACATGGGACCGTTAATTTTTATACTGTACTTCAACGACGTGCATCTGGTCATCGAAGCTCCTCGGTTATCATATGCAGATGACCTCAAAATCTTCCTACGAATCTGTGCTCCATTGCTGACTGTCACTTTCTTCAACGTCAGCTGAATGTATTCGCTAGTTGGTGCAGGTTAAACAGAATGGTAGTGAACCCAGTCAAATGCTCCGCTATTACGTTCTCACGAAAACAACAACCGATAATATTTAGCTATATGACCTGTTTGGCTCGTCAATCGAACGCGTGAATCAGGTGAAAGACTTGGGTGTGATCTTGTGTTGGAGATACAACGTACATCGGCTCACCCCTCATCCCACCGGCATCACTGGACTTGCCGTAGCAGTCGAGAAGTCTACACTAATATCGTGGCTGCTTGTAGAGAAGAAGCTTTTTTCATTCGTATGTGAACTTTTAAACGACGCGGTCACAATAAAACTAATGCTATAGTTTTTCGCTAAAAAACTGAGTTTTATTTCGTTGTTGTGGCCAACAGGTTATGGGCCCAGAACGGTATCCGCGACGCGAAAGTAGTGAAAGTGCTTGATTGAACAGTATCCGTCTGAAATAGTGTTTTTACCAGAAAAAAAAATGTGCTAGCGCGAGAAAAGAACATTCAAGATGGCGGACGCAAAATTCGTAGTGGAAAAGTTGGGTGACGCCAACTATGCTACGTGGCGTTTTCGCATGGAGATGATTTTGATCAAGGAGGAGTTGCACGAGATGGTTTCTTGCCAGAAGCCGGATCGTCCGGATGCCGTCTGGCTGGCAAAGGATGGAAAAGCTCGTGCAATAATCGGACTTGCATTGGAAAATAGTCAGCTTACGCACGTAATGAAAGCTTTGGAAAGTTTTCACCACCAGTCGTCATTGGTGAACAAAATTCATGTGCTGCGGCAGCTGCTACGCTTGCAGCTTGAGGAAGGTGGAAACATGGCGGATCACATTGCACGCGTGATGGAGTTATCACAACGTTTAGAGGCGATGGGTGAATCATTGAACGGAATCTGGCCGGCGGCAATATTATTGTCCAGTTTGCCACAGTCTTACGATGGCTTAATTGTCACACTGGAAAGCAGAAAGGACGATGAGTTGGATTTGGAGTACGTCAAAGGAAAGCTCTTGGATGAGTGGAGGAGGCGGAACGAACTTGCAGCTCATCAAAACAAAGCTTTGAAAGTGGACGGCGGAAAATTTTCTGGAAAGCCGGAAACGAAGAAAACGTGCCATTATTGTAAGATGGAAGGGCATTTTCGTAAGGATTGCTGGAAGCTGGCGGAAGATCGTAAGGAGAAGGAGCGGAAGGAAAAATACCATAAGGCGAAGCTGGTGAAAGAAGACGAAGAAAGCGAAGAATTTTGTTTTATCAGTGGAAGTCAGAGTGGCGGTACTACGTGGTATCTGGATTCGGGAGCCACGTCCCATATGGCGAGCGATATTTCGAATTTCAAGACAACGGTGTCAAGTGTTGGTGCGTCGATTACGCTGGCGGATGGAAGTAAGGTTTCATGGAGCGGATCTGGCGATGCACGGTTGACTACTGTCGATGGAGAAGGAAATCCTCGGAAGATTCTGGTCAAAGGAGTTCTGCATGTGCCATCTCTT